CGCCAAAAAGTGTAAACCTACTTGGCTAACTGATATTTTTAAACACCAGGGTTTTATCAAGAGCATCACAGTTTACTGCCATCACACTGTGGTTACTAAAGATGGATCAAAGCATGCTATGCGTGTATTAGTGTTGTAGTATGAACCTAGATCCCACAAGCATCAGAATTTGGAGCACTACGTTATTCCTCTGTGGTTCATAACGATCTTTTTACAATCTGATAAATTCATTCCTGAGTAGTTTTACTCCGATTTGATCATAACAGGGGCCAATGGCCCCTTGATGGTTTCTGACAAATGGATAAAGCTTCCCCTTCCTGCTGATATGAAATAATCCCCATATGAAAACTACTAGAGAGTCTGTGTTATAGTCATGCCCATGTCCATCTGGTCTCTTCTGGGAATGGATGAATAACAAAATTAACTTCTCGGCACACAGCATAGCCATGACTGAGGAACAGCCTTTAGTTTCCAGATTCCACCTACATACTATCATGAATGACTGTAAAGAACAGGCATTAAGGCTGAATATGAGTAAAGCTCTAGGAAACATGAAGTTTACTTTTAGCTTGCTTAGAATGTGCATTGCAGAAAATGACTGTAGCATATGTCTGTGGATTGTATACCATTTGGGTAAAGTTCAATCTATAGCAGTACTTAGCACCCAGAAAGAATTTTAACACTGATATGCCTTTATTAGTACTCAGATAAGTTCCTGAAAAAGAAAAAAAAAAAAAAACACACACACACAAAAAAAAAAAAAAAAAAAAAAACAAAACACAAAAAACCCCAAACAAACAAACAAACAAAAAAACCCCCAACCAACCAAAACCAAGTTTATAAGGTGCCTGGAAGATCTTTACGGATATAGGTAGTGTTTTAAAAATATTTTGCTGTATTTGTTCATAGTTGTTACCAAATGGTAGATAATGATCATGTTTATAATCAATAATTTTGGGTGTTTATGCTTATAACAGTATGTGGTTTTTATTTACTATCATAATATCGCCAAACTGTTATTTGCATTCACTTGTGTGGTAATAGGCTGTTGGAAATAGGTTCATAATGTATGTGTAAAAGTAAATATGGATGTTGAAACAGCATGTGTATTTGTCCTCACTACCCTGAGCCTCACCTCTCTCTCCTTCTTACAGTGTCTCTTTATTCAGCTGACAACAGAGCTTGTGTCACAAAGCAATCAGGCTTAGAAATATTTTTGGTCTTGTAGGAATCCTGCCGAAAGACTGTAAGGTCCACATAGATGGTCTGGAATATGAGTCACTTCCTAGTTCTATGACCCGCCCCCATAGATGAACAGTTTTATGACTTTTAAGTAATTGCTTATGAATCATCTGAAGGGCTGTAAAGGAAGACGTGTGGCACTTGTTTTTGTGCCAACACTTTTCTCCGACTGTGACAGGATATTGTTGATTCGTAATCAAGGGAGAAGAGCACTTGCATGAACATCTGCAGGCGCACTGGGACCTCACAGAGAGAAGTGACACCAAACGTGGAATTTCTTTGCTTTCTTTTTCTTGTTTGATGTTTTTCGCTTTGTGTTACCTTTTCAAGTCAGCATTTCTTTCCTTGAATTGTTGGTCTGTTATTCATGTCTTGATGATTGCACTTCTGTCCATGATTGTACTTTTTCTTACCTTGCATAGCTTTAAGCTTGTACGCTTTCTCACACCATAACAGCAGTCTTCTCAGCACAGCAGAGACGAGGTTGTACACCTATGCTGTATTAAATTAGGCTTTGGATCACAGCCTGAAATGCAGTGCTGAGCGTTACAGTGAGCTAGAAGAAGTGTCCCCGCTACAGTCTTTATTTTAATGTGGTCGTCACCATGAGATGAGCATGAGATCTCTGTGCTCTACAGAGGCAGGATTTCTTCAGGCTCTTCACGAAATATATTTGATGTTTGTTCAGTGCTGCTGCTGCATGATCTCAAATTTCCCTTCTGAGAAGGTTCGAAAGATGAGGGGCAGTGTCCTAATGGAGCACAGCTCATTTCTGTCACTGAGGCTCTTCTGACTAACTTTTGCCCTGTTGTTTGCATGAGAGCACAATAATATAATATGACTTGGTGTCATCAAGCCATAGTGATTCAGCTCTGAGAAGCTATATTTACAGTCAAAGCTGTATTTGCAGTCAGCCAAATGAAACACACAAGTACACGTAAGTATCTAAAGTGGAGGGCTTGTCCTTCTGATTTGTAGAATAGGTGGTGTGTTCTAAAACCCACTGTGGATGGTTCCTATTTAAATTCTGGGTTAGCCAAGAGACTGAGATACATGTAATTCTTGAGTAACGTGGCAGATGTCCTATGTTCCAAGAAATCTTTCTGACAAATTTTTTATTATGTCATGGTCTTTTCCGAGTCATTTTGAAGAAAAATGAAATGTCTTTCGTGTTGTACATGATCTTAGGTGACACTATGAGCAAAATGTAAATTCTAAGTCTGCTTGCATTATTTCTGCAACAGGAGGTCAGTACTTCTTTACATAATATGAAATTACAAATGCAGTACAGTAATGGCCTTTTGCATCTCATTTTCCCATTTTGTAAAATGGAGTGATTCAGTGGAATTAGAATGGAATACAGTAATATTGCTAAAGCACTCTGTTGCATGCAGATCGTATTACCCATTTTCGAGTTATCAGTGGTGGTGTTTCAGTTTCCAAATATAGCTTAAAATGCTGTTTGAATAGAATAGAATGGAATATAACATAGTTTGTATAGGAAATGTTTTCTTTACTCATGTAATAATATTGACTTGGGGATGAAAATTGAGTTGTCAAAATACACCTATAGTTATATGGGAACTTGAAGACTATCTGAAGAGTTTTGACCATTTTGAAGTGAAGAGCCAGGTCTGATCTGTAAAAACCTGAGCTTTGACTCGTAACCTCGAGGAGTCGGGAGTCTACTGGCATAGGTTGCTGTGAATGACAGAGCTCATACCCAGTGATGAGGAGAGTACTTGTGGCCAGAATAGCTGGCACAGGAATATTCCTGTCAGCTTTGTGAGGAAGATTTTTGAGTTGTGTTCAGGGATTTTAGTATGTCACTGAGTTATGTGGCTGGCTGTTTATAGACTGGATGGTCCTCAGGAAATCTGTGCTTTTTCAGTCAGATGCATAATCCTGCTGCCACCTTAGGTCAATGGTAGATTTTCCAGCCTCTTTAATGAGACCGGGAGTTGGATACATGCTCGCCATCTCAGAAGAGCGCGCAGGTTGCTCTCCAGTTTGAATGGGGATCCCATGCTTTTAACTGGCTACAGAATAAGTACTGTTTACTTTATAGGTAAGCCGCTCAGAGGTGGAAGATTTGGTTAATATATGTCTGCTGGGATGGCTGTGGTGGGCTGTTGGGTTTTTTGTTTGTTTGTTTGTTTCTCCTACCCCTCCCACCTCCAGATTTGGGGTTCCTCTGACTATGCCAGAAAAGGTCTTGCATTGTTTTCGAGGTTATGGTCTTTGAGGAAGATGAAATTTCCCAGACTCTGCAGGTACACCAGTCTCTTCAGATCCTAGAGGAGTTGATTAATCTGTGAACTGCATACTGTGCTCAGGAAGAGACAGAGCAGGAAGGATTTGCCTGTCCAAATATAGATTTCTGCTTCTCAGCTTCTTCTCTCTGTTCCCTTGGTAGCCAGTGGAGAGAAACAGGTGTTGCTGGGGTATGACTCATCCCATCCAAGACTGTGTCCCAATAACAGTCTGGCCACTTAGACTGCCAGAAACAATGTGGTCAAAGTTTCGTTAGAGCAGGACTCATTCATGCCAGGACTAAATACTCCACGTTTTCCTCTGGAGCTCAGAGCATGTTCGCAATTAGCAGAAAATTACATTATGTTTATTTGATCCATTCATATTCCTCTTGAAAATAATAGCCTGATTACTATTGCGATAGGTTTTCGTTGGCTAAACTCGGTGGTTTTTTCCTCGTGTTAATTGCACAGAGGAAGAAAATACATACAGGTTAAGAAAGTTTATGGCTATTTTTAACAAATTAGGTGGTCAAGTCACTCTCCGAGTGAATTCATACTTCATCCACCGAGAGCAAAACTGCAGGTTGTCCATTCATAACAAACCAAGAATAGCAGCCTCATTCCTATTAAATGGTTGTTCTTACTTTACCTTTGTGCTGGCAAATGCAACTTCTGAAGGACTCTGAAATGGAGTAGGGTCTTCACCATTTCAAGTGGAGAGAACTTTTGTGTTACAGGAAGCTCTGCACACTTATGGCTCTATCTTCACTATAACTTATTTTCAAGTGTGTCAAAAAAGCTGGTCTTCAGGGGTAGTCTCAAGAGGTTACTGTTTCTCCATTAGCAAGGGTTGGATGAACAAATCCTCGCAATATTCCTTTTTCAGGATCTCAATAGAATGCTCTCAGACTTCTAACATTTCTTCTAAGATAGGAAGCCAGAATGGAGGCATTGCTGGAGTGTTAATTTACTACCTGGTGCCTGTCTCCTGGGCAAAGAGGAAAAAACTGGAAAGCAGTAGTCTCCCACTGGAATCTTGGCTTGAGGTGAATAGATGAATGACAACATCTCTGTTCTGCAGCAGGGCCTCTCCGACCGTTTTCTTCCTGTTGAGTTGTGAAACAACAAAGTAAACATTTAACTGAATGTGGCAGCCTGAGACAATTAGCCTTATTGTAGAAGGAATGCCAGTCTCTTCTCTCTCTGCATAAATTCTCTTTGCTAGCAGTGCTAATAGAGCTGCAGTGGAAGATAGCCAGGCTTTTCATTAGGCAAGACCCAAGTTTAAGCAGAAATACAAGTAGTGTGTGGCTTTGTCCCTGGAAGTGTCCTGGATGCAGCAGGGCTGCTGAGGATTGCCCATGGTCAGAGCCCTTTCAAAAGTATTTTTGTAGCATAGGAAATTGATTGTCAATACCAAAGTCTTCAAAACCCTGCCGTGGGGGTTGGTGGGAGTGTTTGGGTATGGCATAATTTTTTTTTTTACTGATATAACCATTCCAGAGTAGAATCGCTGAGATGTGTTCTTTGTACAAAGAGGAGTCATTCTTCAAACTTGTTTCCTTGATCTCATAGCGCTGCCGTGACTGCATTCCTAGCTGAGGTAGGCTTCTCAGCATGAGAATGAATTCTAAAATGCTATAAATTAACCTGAGCTTATTGTTCATCCAACTCAGATGTAAGATGTCTATTCCCTTGTTCCAGGCTCACCAGTTCATACCAGCCTTCGACAGTGCTTTGTGATGATCTGTTATAATGTTGGAGCTTGCATAACCTCCTGCTGAAGAAGACCTGGCTAATACTGATGCGCTACCACTGACCTAGTGTTACGTCCAGTTATAGCCCATGAGAACTTTTTGTCCAGCCTTTAGAATACCATCTACTGTACATGTAAGTAAACATTACAAGTAGAAAGAGACTGGGAATACATTCATTTTAATGGTAGTTCTGCCCATCTGGTAAATCTGCTGCCCTGCTTTATTTATTGTTGGCTTTTTTATTTTACAGCAGACTGATAAGTAGATTGCTTTAAAAAAGATTATGTGTTAGTAAGGATGGTACATGTCTAATGGACATGTAACGCACTTACATTTATAAGGAGTTTTACATTTTCCTCTTGACTATGCTAGTATGCAGATACCGGTCTCTTCTGACTTCCTGTAATTAATTTGATAGCCAGACTGCATCAAATCTACATTTGCAATACTGTTGCTCTCAAAGAATATTGGTGGTAGGCCAAAAAAAAAGCAGTGTATCAGCTGAACAAAGATCTGCCTTGCATCTATCCCTTGGTTCCCAGAGAGCCTTTTACTGTCTACAGCACCTGTATATTCTCAGTCTCTTCAGCCAGAGAGGTGTCTTGTGGAGTATTTTAATTTGATTTTGTTATTATTTTCATATCAGGTGGATAAAAGATATTTGAAGTGGTGTTCCTATAGGTGAGGGGCACTTAAGTATTATTTGCAGGTTTTCTGCTTGGTTTAGCGTTCTATTCATTTTGTGCACATATCTGATTAGTATACTGGTAGTCCCTCTGCAGATGTTTCTGCCAGTGTATCTTTGCAGTAACGTTTCTTAGTGAAATGGGACTGTATAGACAATCCTTGTCTTAAAAAGTTAAGGGAGTTAGAGACCAAAGATGCCTGCATATTGTGTCATGTCTCCCACTGTGCTCTAGCTACAGACAGCCCTTGCTTTGGGTGACCCTTGAAATTCATTACTTCTGTCATGTATGCAGAATTAGTATATTTCAGGGAAAACATAAAATCAACAAAATTGTTGGTATATACACAGCTGACTACTGAGCCCTGCCATTTTTTAAATGTGAAAGATGGGAAAGTCGTAGTTCCTTTGGACTCCTTCTCTATGACTGTATGCTAAATGGTTTTCACAACCATGTATTTCCCAAGCTGTTTTCTAGGGGGACTCTTAAATGTTGTGTACTTTGATCTGGCAAGGCAACCTTGCAACTTTTCTGTGAGAAAAATTAAGGGCTTTCAAACTGACACCTCCCCAGTTTTTCAAACATATTGCTCCTCTGTTTATTCTTCCAGCACCATCCAATGTAAATGGTTCCCGTTAGTCACAGAGGAAATTTTTTATAACCCAGTATGCAGTGATGAATTCACAGTCCAGTGTTCATTAAATTGTTGTGCCTTTGTGTTCATAACATCAGTTCTTTGTCAGATGAGCACCTATAAGCTGCCTAGGAGATGTCTTACAGATGTCTTCAAATTCTTGTGACTTAGAGCTGCTAAAGTTCTCATGTCTCCTGTTTTGTGAGGCTGTATTTGAATAAGGATGAACTTCAAGAGCTGTAGTTCAGACAGCAGTTTTAAATTACTAAGCGGTCATTGAAATTAGTTTTCTCCAAGGTTCGCTGCTTTCTCACACTTGCCACTGTGATCACTGCTATGCTGAGCTCTCCTGATGTTTTATTACTGCCTGCTAGTGAATCTTTTAGATGGACTTGTTGGATTGTAACTCGATGATTTTTTTGATAGCTATATTAAGTGGACTGTGCAAGAATATTATAGTATATACAAATCATAATACCTATTACTTCTGCTCTGGGGCTTAAAAAGGACCACTATGTCATTTAAAGAGAAAAGAAGTCGACAGCTGAACTGCTTGAGCTGTCCAACTCCTAGCAGTGAATGTTACAGCCTAAGACTGTCTTTGTTGGGAGCACAGACAGGACAAAACCACTCTTGCATGTTTTATTTCTTTGTACCAAGCCAATTAATTCCTGAAGTAGAATTCTGATCAGAGCTGGGCATGGAAACCCAACTTACCTTTGCTTGTGTGGGTGAAGGATTATGGGGGAATTGGTATTGCCAATGAATGCCAGATGCCAATTGATGCTTCTTCCATTCTAGTCACTTAATTTTAAGTTTATGCCAATGAGCTGCTGTGCCCTCTTGTTTTTACCTCACTTGAAATAATGGAGAAGCTGTCTAGCAGAAGCAATGAAACCAGACAGAAGAGTATCTTGCTCTTTTATGTATTGCCATGTGACAAATTTAACCATGTGTATTTGCCTGACTTTCTGCCTCTGTTTTATTTTGTCACTGCAGTTGCACTGATTTTTTTCCAGAGCTTTCCAAGGGTTGTTCCTAATGCTACACCTCACAGGCTTCCCTGCCTGTATTGCTCTATTTTGGGGTAACTATTGCTAAACAGAAGATGTTTTCCAAAGTCAGGGAAAAAAAAATAATAATAAAAAAAAAGGGTGGTGGGGGAAGAAAAAAGAGCAAATTGACTTTAGGGGCTAGAATGTAAGAGAGTAGTCATCTCACATGAAGATACTGAAAAAGCTTTGTTCTTTTGTGCCTTTGGGGACATAGGCTATTTGCTGCTCATTTTTGATGATACCTGAATGTTGTGTGGGATCGCCTTTGTGTGTGCAGCACTACAAGTCATGTTCAGTTGTTTTGCCCACATGTTCTTTCCCTCCTTGTTCCAGAGAGATACTATCTCTGCTTTAGTCTTTCATCTCCAAAAGATTATTTTAAATTCTCAAAATTTAATGGAAAACTGTGCAGATGGATGGCTTAAAAACTAGTGTTCAGCTTCTTCCCTAGTGGCAAGGTTTATTGGTGTCCTGTTAGCAAGCAAAACAGCTCTTTTTTTCCAGAAGCAAAATTTATGATTCTTCCTGTCTGTTTACGTTCATTCAGTCCTCCTGGAGTTCATCCAACCTTAAGTTTTCAAGCTTGAAACAAAACATTGGCATTGGTTTATTTAGACCTATCTCAAGTAGGAGTTTTAATGCTGGTATTTTAAAATACTTTTATGTTTCTCTAAATAAAGAGCTTTGTAGGATTGACTCCAGGTATTTTTCTGATACACTGTAGCATTACTGCTGAACTTTTGGATTGTCTCTAGTTTTTCCAGGAAAATGACATGTAAACTGGCAGGATCAAAGATTGAAAAAAAACAAATGCATATGTGTATATATATGTATATGAAAACAAAAAAACAACCAACCAGAAAAGCCCATAAGCCTTTCTTTGAAGAAGAGCATTTCATTCACTAGTTCTAAAAAATTATTGAAGGCACGGTTTTTGAAAAATTAAGACGATTTGTCACTAGTGCTTCTTACTGTGAGATGATTATTCTGTCATTTGAAACCTGTAAACACTGTCTGGGCTTCTTCCAGAGAATTTTATCCAGCTCCCACTCACTCTCTGCCTTCAGAAATGACTGTGTAAAACTTTAGGTCTCTGTGGTGTCAGATCACAGCAGAGTATCACATTGGTCTTCTCCAGATTTAAAGTATATGAATTTTCTTTTTCAAGATCTACCTGTCAGACAAGTTTGGTTACTTACAAAAGTTAGCTCTGTAGAAGTTTGAAATGTGTGTTGCTTTTAAAGTGAAGCTGCAGAAACCTTTTGGAATCCAAAAACATTAAGGCAGGATAAGAGACAGAGAAAGGTCTTTCACTGCACAAGAACCTCACAGAAATACAGAGTTGCTGGAGGGAAAGGGGGTTTGGACAGCAGAACTGTGGAGAGAAAGGGAGGAAGTGAAAGACGGGGACTTGTCCTCTTCTGGAAAGGAGAGGAAGTATGTGTGAGCCCAGGTGTTTTCCAGGCTGTGAAATTTAACATTTATTTTCACTCCTGATTTTTCCCCAGTCTTCAGCAATTCAGTCATCTATATGTATATTCTGCTTCTCACCAGAAACAGCTGCTCTCTGCTGCTCCAAGAATCTCTACTTTGCTTTTTGTGGAAGCGTTAACAAAGCCATTTCCTTGTTCTGTATCCTGCAGTTCTCAAAGAGAGTAGCAATTTAAACATGGTACAAGAGGTTTTATGCAAGCCTGAAATATGCCTTATGGACAAGAGTATTGAGCTGTTATTTCTTCAGATGGCTTTACTGTTACCAAATTTTTACAGCAGCTGCAGGCATATACAGGCTTAGGATGGATGGTATCTAGCATACAGGCTGTAAGAAAACTTAAAACCGAGACACAGACGGCTAGATCTGTAACAGACTTAGGCTTTAAGGGAAATATTGAGGTTTTGGGAAGGGGCTTTTATACTAGTCTTTTACCATCTAGAGATGTCAATGCTACCTGAATTTTAATGAAATTAAATTATAGGATATCAAGGGGGAGAGTGAGGGATGCATGGTTCTCTTGTTAACAGGGAGATTTTTACTTCAAATGAGAACTCTGGTTGTGTGAGATAAATTTATTTTTTTCTCAATAAATAGTATTGCTTTGAATAAAAAGTCCTAAGTTCTTAGCCCACCTATTTAATATTTTTATATATCCTAATATTTGCCTTCAAATAAACTGAAATATTAGCGATTAAGTTGTAATAATTAGTTCTATTTAATTTCTATGTTATGAGCATTACTTGGGAAATAGGTTTAATGACAAAGCAAGAGATTTTGAATGTCAGAATTTTGTGTTTCTTGTTCCTCAAAATTGCCTTTTAGATGGGGATTCAAGCATTTGGTGAGAATGAGTACAATCCCATCTTTGACAATTTTTTACAAATTTAGAAGATATATAATCTTAGATACAATTATTTTCATATACATTTTGGAAAATAGGGAGCTGTTGTGCAAAGATGCTCCGAGTCAAAACTTGTCAAGTTTGCCTTTCGCCGCTTTTTGTCAGCTGGTTTCTGTGAGCAAGTGTGGCAGCCAGTGTGTTGTTCCACAGGAGTCTGTTGTAGCAGGAAGCAGAAGAGAATTTTATTGGCATGAGCTGAGGATGGTAGAGAAACTGTAAATCAGGCAGGAGCCACAAAATCCATTTAAATATGAGTTCCACTACCTCTGCTGTTCACAGAGCTGCTTTCTTTCATAGGTCGGTAAGCTCTGTTTTCTACTAAAATGACAGCGTATGCACGGTATGTGTTTGAAATTTTCTCT